CCTCATACATACATACGTTTTATTTGAGCGTTTAACTGACACCTCGTGCAGATTTCAAGTTAAACGTTAGGGTGTTACAGTTTTTGTTTTCTAAATACCTCATACATACATACGTTTTATTTGAGCGTGTAACTGACACCTCGTGCAGATTTCAAGTTAAACTTTCGTTAAGAAGTCCTTTTCAGTTTACCACCGTCAACTAAAATGAAAAATACTATACATTTATTGCCTTTACAAAAACTAATTTAATGTTTCGCTGGGTTTCACCTAGGGTTGCGAACCGTATATAATATATAGTATGGTGTATTTTCTCGGTCGGCGTACTATACTATAATGTTGGAAAAAATATAGTATGCAAAAATACTTAAGGGTCTTCATCAACGTGATAAACTGTGGATAAACTTGGTAAAATGATAAATTTATCATTTTGATAAATGAACTGTCAAACTTTGTATGGGCATCTATTTAACCAAAATTTATCGCTTTATCAAACGATTTTGGTGGATAAACGTATAAATTTCAGCAAAATTCAACCCTAACAGACTGCCAGGTGCTCGATTTTGCTACGAATACATAAAAATCAAATTAGCAAAATGGACGAGGTAAGAAGGAAACGTAACTAGCCAAATAAGTTAAATAATAAACAATTTTGTGCAATTATTTACCAAGGTGCGTTCATGAAAGAATGGCGGACAAACTGATATATTTAAGCAATTTATCCCTTTATTACTTTAGATAAAGACCCCTACTATATTGCTATAAATATATTTCAGTAATTTGCAAGAAATTTTTTTTATTAAATTGGATGACCTTATACTGAAATAACAATACTAAAAAATTATTCTTTAAAATAAAAATAAAAGGTCATAGTGAGTTAATTAATAAAACCACAGGACAAAAATGGCAACATTTTTAAAAATACTTAGAATGAATTGTCAAATTTACTTAAAATTATTTCATTTTTGCTCTCTATTCCTGCAACTTCGGCATTCACAGAAAGAGTTTTTCATATTATGAGTGTGAAATGGCGATATGAGAGAAACAAAGCGACTACCTCACTAATAAAAAAATAACTTTTGATTTATATTAATTTAAATATTGATTGCGAAAAAACATATGATACTTTCAAGGAAATATATACCTATTATTTATAGAGGAAATGCGTAAGAAAAAAGATGTATAGTATACTTAAAAAGCGTTCATACTTTTTCTTTTAAATAAAATACTATTAATGTATATTTGATTTGTGCTATTTTTTTCAGATTTTTTTTTTAATTACTATAATAGAAAATTTTGGCAACCTTAATTTCACCTTAAATTAGTGGGGTGCTTTTTGATATTGATACACAAATGGAATGACATACCTGATTAAGAGCGCCTCCGAAAAGCAAAGTGTTTATTCTTTTGAGAAGCCTTCGCATGGAAGAAGTACACTCGAAGGATTTTCATTGCCTGCCAATGGTTAACGGCATTTAGCAGGAGTCCTTCTGAGTGATATTTAAGCATTCAAGCCATTAATTATAAACATATATATATAAATATATGCTCGTACAATATTTGCCTATATAACTTCAAAATTAAATAAATAATAAAATTTACATTTTTTATCCGACAGATAATCGTCTCGCATCCAGTTAATCCACCTTACTATGTACCTCTAGTAGAAGTGGTGCCCGCTCCATGGACAAAGCCAGAGGTAGTGAAGAAGACGCGCGCCATTATGGAAGAAATTGGACAGAAGCCCGTAGTACTCAGCCGGGAAATTGAAGGATTCGTACTAAACCGAATTCAATATGCCATTCTAAATGAAACTTGGCGCTTAGTCGACAGCGGCATCGTCGATGTCAAGGACGTGGATAGTGTAATGTCGGATGGTTTGGGTATGCGTTATGCGTTCTTGGGACCACTTGAAACTGCACACTTGAACGCCGAAGGTATGACCAATTACTTCGAACGCTACACCAATACCATGTACGCAGTCAGTCAAACCATGGGTCCCACACCGAAAATGGAAGGCCCAACAGCCGTGGAGATTGCCAAACAGTTGGAGGCTATGGTGCCATTAGATAAGCTGCAGGAGCGACGCAATTATCGCGACAATTGTTTAACCCAGTTGAGCATTCTAAAGAAGAAGCTAAATGAATAGAAGAAGCGTTGGAGGAACTATAATAATATATATTTAAATAAATGAGGTGGAATTGTAATTAAAATTTTGCAAATATTTTATAATGAAAAATATAAAATAAGCTTGCTGGTATTTTGTAGTAACTCTGATTACATTTATTTGACTTGTAAACTCATTTAACAATTTTAATTTAATTCAATTTAAATACACACATTTTTATGAATGCAAATTTAATAGCTTATAAAAGTGCTATTTAATATGACGTATGGTATTTATTGTATATGGATATCATGAGCTTTTACATTTTAAAACAAGTCTTACAACGCATTAAACTTTTGCAATGCTTTTTTCTAAGATTCCCTTTTCACAAATGTACATACATATCGATGGTCCTGTGCAATAAGGACACAATTCAAAATTTCAAAAACAAAAACTGTTACTATTGCTAATTGTCTAATCCATTTCCATCCCTTACTAAAGTAAGCAGTAAGGATTGCTAAAACAAGTACAAAAGGTTAGACATGGATTAGGGACATGAGCCACTTAACATTAGTAACAGTTTTTATTTCTTAAATTTTTAATTGTGTCGTTATTGCACATGACCATCGATATGTACATCTTTTACATACATATTTTTGTTTAAATAAATTCTTATGAGCTAATGAAATCAATCAATTTCTCATTTAAATAATTTAATAAGTACGTTTAGGTAATTTCAATAATATATATAAGTATTTAGTTGAGTAGGTAGATACTGGCATTGGGCTGAGGTTAAAGTTTTTACAAGAAAAACGAATAGAGAGCGAAATACATTCATAGATACGCTTGCATATTTTGAATATCTTACAAACACATAAATATGTATAGGGCATGGTACAATTATTAAAGGTATTGTCAAGGCGAATACATATAAGGTGGTATTGATTGAACAAATACAACAATTACTTGTATTTTGTTTTTGCTTTTAGCGGGCCATTGTCAAATTTTTGCTATTCTTCCCCGAATGAAAAAGGGCGACAGAAAATGCAAACACTCTCACTTTTTCACTCATCCACTAACGAAATTCAAAATTTTGACAATCAAACGCTACTCACAGCTGATGAAACAACACCACCTTATATAAATTCGCCTTGGGTATTGTCTTCCCAGAGAGTTTTGCTTCACATCGAAATTCGTGCTCCTTTATTTTCATTTTGACGCATTTCAATGTTGTTTCTTTTGCTTTTAGTTGACTTTGCTTTTGATTTTCGATCAGTTGAATTTTTATAATTTAAAAAAAAAAAAACAACGTTTGAAATAAATTGGGCAATACAAATTTGATTTGTTTACTAAGCAAATGTTTATTTTTCGGCTTTTGCAAATTAAATAAGCTCTCTGACAGAACATGGTGAATAGAAATATCCCTTTTCCCTTACAGTCAGCCTTTTAGTGTGGGCAACAATGATATTTTTCAAATAAGGCAGATCGGAATATGCGCTCTCTGGGAAGACAATACCTGTAATTATTGTACCATGGTATAGAGTTTCTATATTTGAAACACAATTTAATTATTTCAAGGCAATCTAGAGTAATTCGAAATTTATTTAAGCATGTCTGGTTTTTTCAATTTATCTTAACACTACACATAGGAATTATAATTCGAAGTTGAAATTCGCTTAAAAATTCATGAAGCAAACTATATTTTGAATGAGGTAAACACAGTAGCTAAAAGTTAACTTCCAAACTTAAGTACTTTACAAGGTACTTAAGTAATCACAATTTTCAAAGAACTGTTAGCCGCCTGAATGAACATTTATTCACTTACGTATAGGCAATAAATTCTCGTTTCTTTGTTTTACTTAAATGCTTGGATTTGTTTCAGTTTTAAATTTGGAAACAAATTGAGACCATTTAATTTCACTAGCACACATTTGATACATATTTGAAAGTTACCCGTGTTTCAAGTTTTCCAGCAGTTTATGCACATATGAGCACACATTTTGTTTTACAAAACTTGCCAATATGCGTACATTAGAACGTTATTGTAATTTTTTGTTTTTTTTTGCATTATATAATTTTGAAATTACATTTTTCACTTGCTTCTGTCGTTGCATGGCAGCAGACATATGTAAGTACATACTAGGGATGCCAATCCCTGGATCCCGGTGTTTTTGACGTCCCGGAAATACCGAGATTTGCTTGCATCAATCCCGGGATCCCGAAAATTTTGAAATATCGAATTGATAGTAAGAATTCGTTTATGAATTTTCAAGTATGATTTTTGTAAAATGCCGTTTTGACTGCAATTAATAAAAAGCTTGAAACTGTACTTTTAAATTGCAGTCTGAGCCTTTTTTGAAGAAGATTTCAATGAATTTACTCATAGCGTCGCTAATGTAAACGAAACAGAGAGTTTTAAGGAAAAGTTAGATAATTTTTTAGATCAATCTACTCAAAACTTCCTCAAATCGAAAAAAGAAAAACGTGCTGGTAAAAGAAGTTCAAATATTTTGTAATGGAGGAGGTAGGGGTCATTATCTCCAAATGGATTATGTCTACCTTATGGCAGTTCAGCCTAAAAGTGTTGATGCCGAAATATGTTTTCCATCAGTCGGTTTTGTATTTAAAAACTGCAGGTCAAGCTTAGAAGACTCCGCTTTGAATGCTTCGCTGCTCTTATGAAAACATCATAAGTGTAATAATAACAACACCGGAAAAGAGGGGTGTGTGTTTTTAACCAGACTCACCTACCAACATGTATTTCGACCCGCTGACTCCGATTCTGAGATCCGTTTGACTCGTACACCCTCAAAATTTCTAGTAAATTGCGAAAAAAATGGCAAAAAATTCTCCATTCGTCATTTCTTTATAGAGTAGAATAAACATGTTTAGAGAAATTGTTTTTGTATATTTTTGTTTTATGTTTTTTTTTGTTTATCGTTACTTTCAAAAGTACCTGGTATTTAAATTATTATTTGTGATGTATACGTTCCTCAATCACATGGTTTTTTGAATACAATTAAAAAAATGTTTTACTTTAAAATTTGTCTGATTTAATAAATATCGCTAGCGTAGAGTGCAAAGTTGCTAAGTCCCAATTTAAAAATTGTACAGGAGAGGAAAAAACTTCGTATAGCCATTTTCTTCAAGTATTTCGCAAAACTTTGAATACAACATTTTGCCTGTTTAAAGCAAAGCAAAACTCCATACAATTCAGAGGGATTCGATCTTTATTAAAAGATTTCGAACTTTTTTGGCCTTATCGAATTTTCGGAGCTTTTTTTGCCCTTAGCAAATTTTCCTTTCATTGAATATAAACGAGAAAACATAAAACAAGGACCTTTACCCTTTTCGAAACGATGCAATATTAATTTATCTAGCCTCCTATATCAAAATATGATTTTTCCANCGCTAATGTAAACGAAACAGAGAGTTTTAAGGAAAAGTTAGATAATTTTTTAGATCAATCTACTCAAAACTTCCTCAAATCGAAAAAAGAAAAACGTGCTGGTAAAAGAAGTTCAAATATTTTGTAATGGAGGAGGTAGGGGTCATTATCTCCAAATGGATTATGTCTACCTTATGGCAGTTCAGCCTAAAAGTGTTGATGCCGAAATATGTTTTCCATCAGTCGGTTTTGTATTTAAAAACTGCAGGTCAAGCTTAGAAGACTCCGCTTTGAATGCTTCGCTGCTCTTATGAAAACATCATAAGTGTAATAATAACAACACCGGAAAAGAGGGGTGTGTGTTTTTAACCAGACTCACCTACCAACATGTATTTCGACCCGCTGACTCCGATTCTGAGATCCGTTTGACTCGTACACCCTCAAAATTTCTAGTAAATTGCGAAAAAAATGGCAAAAAATTCTCCATTCGTCATTTCTTTATAGAGTAGAATAAACATGTTTAGAGAAATTGTTTTTGTATATTTTTGTTTTATGTTTTTTTTTGTTTATCGTTACTTTCAAAAGTACCTGGTATTTAAATTATTATTTGTGATGTATACGTTCCTCAATCACATGGTTTTTTGAATACAATTAAAAAAATGTTTTACTTTAAAATTTGTCTGATTTAATAAATATCGCTAGCGTAGAGTGCAAAGTTGCTAAGTCCCAATTTAAAAATTGTACAGGAGAGGAAAAAACTTCGTATAGCCATTTTCTTCAAGTATTTCGCAAAACTTTGAATACAACATTTTGCCTGTTTAAAGCAAAGCAAAACTCCATACAATTCAGAGGGATTCGATCTTTATTAAAAGATTTCGAACTTTTTTGGCCTTATCGAATTTTCGGAGCTTTTTTTGCCCTTAGCAAATTTTCCTTTCATTGAATATAAACGAGAAAACATAAAACAAGGACCTTTACCCTTTTCGAAACGATGCAATATTAATTTATCTAGCCTCCTATATCAAAATATGATTTTTCCATAAAAGTGAAGTTAGCAGCTTTTCACTCTAAGCTAGCGATATATGAGTTTTACAATCAGTTTATCGTAAATTTTAAATAGTTTTATTTCATGGTATGTTTAAATGCTTTCAGATATTGAATTTTTACTTATATTCATAAAATTTATTACTCAATTTGAATCCCGGGATAAATCCCGGGATCCCTATTTTCCTGATATTTTGGCATCCCTAGTACATACTTACATATTCAATTCGGTCGCTAAAAATATTTTTTGGGAAGAATCTAGGGTCATACAAAGTTTTCGTCCGTGGCGAGCCCCAAAATGGAAAGTTTTTCATAATATTTTTACTTCTCATATTTAATTTGTGTGCATTATTGTAAAACCGAAAACCAAAAGGCATGCACCTAGCTGCTTGCTTCCCAGCCTCAGCTACTCGCATGCAATGGCGTATGAGTGACAATAATGTCAAACTGCCATACCCAAACAAAAGCGTCACCGTGTTCAGGCTGTCAAAAATTTCTCATGCCCAACGCTCAGCGGTTGGAAAATCCGATCGGGCGTCAGGAAGTGAAGTTGGCTGTAGAAAACGGTGAAACTGTCATTTTCGTATGTCACACAAACAAGGCCATGCTTGTTATTGGTGTTATTTCTGCATTTGACATAGCGCTGGCGCTTTTGTTTAGGTATAGCACTTCGGCGTTCACGCTAGGCGTCAGAAAACGCTCCGCCTAACGGGTTTGTTTAGGTATAACAGTAACACTTTCGCACGAGGCGATTTTTCAGGCCTTTTAACTAATCGCTTTCAACAAAGTTGGTCGCCAGCCAACTTTGAGCTCGTTCAACTTTTTTTCCTTGCAACCCTGTGTTTGTTT